AACTCAGCAACGTCAGGAGTTCGAAGGCCTTACGCTCTTACAATATGACCATTTTGGGCCGCCAGCAGCTCGTTCAAGTTTTCGAAAATCCCGTTCGTGCGTTTCATTCTTTTTCATCCATCCATCCATCCATCCACACATCAGCACGGCCTGCGCCATAGGTGACTGGTGGCCCGTATTGCTAGTAGGACACATCGTCGTGGCCTAGCAGTGACAGCGTTCAGCACGGACTACCACGAGATGTTGCAGCACTGATCAGAGCAGGTGCCAGCCGCTTAGCTGGGGGGAATCATGCCATGACTGGGAAAGTATAGCCCCAGCTAACGGACATTAAATTTCTCACAGCATGTGGTACTTTCGAGGTGTATTTCAAGGAGGTTGATGCGCATGCGTAATGCAGGCTAACAAGTGCCATGGTATGGTTGTGGATGTGACCCATTTAGCAGAACTTAGTAGAACTGGCGTGGTCAGGGGCGGGTCTGCTATACTTGAGGCCTTTTTTATACTCTATTTCTGATACTTTCGCAAACTCACTCGCTTACTTATCAAAGGAGCGTCCTGTAATGCTGACACTGGGTTTGCTGATAGCCTTGAATGCCTTAACAATCCTGATACTAAGCCTGCTAGCGTCCTTATAGTTTACAAAAGAGCCGGCTCTTTTCGAAAATCAGGAACTTACGGGTTGAAATTTTTGAATACGAAGTTGGCTTGATTTTGTTTCTCATTGCAGCAGAAAAGTTCGATGTGATTACGGCTTCGACAGCTGAACTGAAGCTCTCGGGCAAAGTAAGCTCAGCAGCCATTGTGTTTTTTCTCGTTTTATGACATTTTTTAAATAGCTTTGAGCAACTACGATGACGTAACCCCTGTGATTTGCGTCAGAATCAATAGTTGATGCATTCTGGAGGAACTGGGAAGTGATTAGTAGGGCCGTAGTATATCATTAATCAGTAATTCTTGAAAAAAACATTTTCTTTAGACTTATTGAGGTCTTAAGCTTTTGGACTCCTAAATGCTACGTTTTTGGTATTTTGGCTTGGCATATCTTTGCTTACTATGTATACTCATACGTACATAAAGTGTTCTGAAAATAACAAGATTATCGAATAATCTCAATAGTCTTAACAATTCAGTAGATGTAATGGGGTTTAAAGTTAAACTGAAGTATCTGAGTTATGCTTATACCAGCTGCTGATTCAGAATCTAGCTCTCTTAGTTGTGCATTCAGTCGCTTTGCCGGTGCTGCATTACTTGTTGGTCAGCTTGCTGGCGGTCCTGGCGCCTGTCTCACTCCCCAAGTTCGAATTTCCAGTTTATCTTTCCGCATGCTCGTTCAAGATGATCTCAATAATTAATT